ACACCTTTCCCTGAGGCAGATGCAGAGAAATCGGGCGAGGAGGCTACGGCACCGCCGTGAGAGCCTGAAGTCGGAGAGTGGCACAGAGCTGTCAGAAACCACGAGCCCCAGCGCCCAGGACATCACGGTGGCAATGGGGCATGTGGATTTTGTTGAACGGCGATTCTGGGCCCGGGAAACAAGCACGGACTGGTGGGACCGTATAGTGCTTCAGGTCTGGGATGAATCCCAGTGGCTGCGAAACTTTCGCATGCGGAAGGGGACTTTCCTCGAACTTTGTGAGTTGCTGTCCCCTGCCCTGAAGCGCAAGGACACCCGCATGCGAGCAGCCCTCACTGTCCAGAAGCGAGTGGCCATAGCCCTCTGGAAGCTTGCAACGCCGGACAGCTACCGGTCAGTCGCGAACCACTTTGGTGTGGGCAAATCTACCGTGGGGGTTGTTGTCATGCAAGTAGCCAAGGCAATCGTGAAGGTACTGCTCCCAAAGGTAGTGACCCTGGGAAACGCGCAGGTCATCATAGATGGCTTTGCCGCGATGGGATTCCCAAACTGCGGAGGGGCTATCGATGGGACTCACATCCCTATCCTGGGACCGGACCACCAGGCCAGCCAGTACATCAATAGAAAGGGCTACTTTTCAATGGTGCTGCAAGCACTGGTGGACCATCGGGGACGGTTTACAAACATCTACGTCGGATGGCCGGGCAAGGTTCATGACGCTCGCGTGTTCAGGAACTCTGGTCTGTTTAGACGGCTGCAGGAAGGTATTTACTTCCCAGACCACAAAATAACTCTTGGGGATGTGGAGATGCCTACAGTCATCCTCGGGGACCCAGCCTACCCGCTAATGCCCTGGCTCATGAAGCCCTATACTGGCGCCCTGGACACAGAAAAAGAACTGTTCAACTACCGTCTCAGCAAGTGCAGAATGGTGGTGGAGTGTGCTTTTGGCCGTCTCAAAGGGAGATGGAGAAGCTTACTCACTCGCTGTGATCTCAGTGAAACCAATATCCCCATCGTTATTGCAGCTTGTTGTGTGCTCCACAATCTATGTGAGAGCAAGGGGGAGACCTTTATGGCGGGGTGGGAGCTAGAGGCAAATAGCCTGGCTGCTGATTACGTCCAGCCAGACAGCCGGGCCATTAGAAGATCCCAGCGGGACGCCCTGTGCATCCGGGAGGCTTTGAAAGCTAGGTTCCTGAGTGAGCAGGGCAACCAGTGACTTTTCAGTTTGTGGACAGAGAAGCTGAACCTGCCCCCGTTTCTTTACCCAGTTCATTTTGACTATCCTCTCCAGTTACATACCCCCTTCACCCCCTTCCCCTTCCCAAAAAATAAAATCATTTCGATTTTGTTAATGAACAGCGTTGTCTGTATTGCTGTTTTCGCGGGAATATTTTAAACCGGGGACGCAGACTGTGGCGGGGGGCGGGTTCAGTGTTCTGATGCAAATGATGCTTCTAAACTCCCGGAATGACAGGCTCCGCACTGGTGGACTGGTTATTTCAATGGAGAACATGAAAAACACCTCCCAGACTGACCACGGTAACCAGTGACTGCACTGTGTATGTGTCCTGATGCTGGACCTGACACCGCCTCTGTACCCTGCTAAAGGTCACTGTCCTGCCCAATTACCAAGCCCCTTGCCCCCCTCCAGACAGACTCTCCCTCAAAAGAACCTGACTGAAACAGTAATGGAGAGAAACAAACATTTTATTGCGAACCAGACATGAAACGTGGGGTGTGAAACTTGGACGGGGGCTTCTGTGAGGTGGGTGGGAAAGGACTTATGAAATTTTGGGGAATGTCAGCCTTCTAGTGCTAGAGCAGTCTGCAGGGGTTGACTGAAAGTTTTAACGGCCCTTGCCGCCCCTCCTTCTTTGGAGTTTGGGTGAGGGTGGTGTGGGACTTGGTGGCGGGTGAGGGCGGTTACAGATAGACTGCAGCGGGGCTCTGTCCTCCTGCCTCCGGTCTTGCAGAACATCCACAAGGCGCCGGAGCGTGTCCGTTTGCTCCCTCATTAGTCCAAGCAGCTTTTCAGTAGCCTGTTGGTCCTCCTGACGCCACCTCTCCTCCCGTTCCATGACTGCTCGGTGCATTTGTGACAAGTTCTCCCTCCACTGTGTCTGCTGGGCTGCCTGGGCTCGGGAGCAGTCCATTAGTTCTGAGAACATGTCTTCACGCGTCTTCTTCTTCCTCCGCCTAATCTGCGCTAGCCTCTGGGAGTGTGCTGACAGGCTGGGTTGGGAGACAGTCGCAGATGTGTCTGTGTGAATTGTGAAAAGGGAGTGAATTCCTGAGACAGATAAATGAAATTGTATACAAAGAACCTAGTCTTTCTCTGTGAACAAGACCATGCACTGCACCTCTCACATGCGCACTCAGGACAAGGTCGAATTTTCGGCCGTCGCCTTCAGTGCCTGTGGACTTGCGGAGGTCTTGGACTGTTCAGAGAACTGTGGCTGGAGACCTGAACTTCTGGAGCGGGCAATAATGGTAAGCCGCAGACTTGTGGCTGCTTAAAACTCCAGCAGTAGCACTGGCCTCCTTTCACATTGAAAGCAATGCCAGTCTCTGCTGCCAGCAATCAGGACAGCATCAACTCTGCCCCTGTCCCACCCCCTCGCGGCTGTCCCAGGGAAAGATCCCTGTATGCTGCCCCTCTCCCTCCACCGCGTGGCTGTAAAGCAGTCCCAATACTAACATTCCCCTCCCTAATTCAAAGCAGGGCGTCATGAGCGACATCACCCTCCTGAGGATCCCGGACACCCAGAGAGAACGCATGCTGCGGGAAAGCATGCAGAAACCGGGGCCGTATGCCGCCATGCTATGTCGGGCCATGATCCCGGAGTACTTGATTGTGGCGTGGAGGGGGCATGTCTGCTACCACGGAGGGCCCACTAAGATCGCCCTACCCCGGAACCTGATCAACAGGCTTGAGCTCTACCTCCACGAGACCTACGAGGAGTTCTCCTACGAGGATTTCTCGTCGATCCCCGGCCACATTGACCGGATTTTCGCGTAGGTGCACTGGGACTATGGAGTGGAGCGTCTTGGGCCTGGGAATCATGCAGTAACGGACATTGTGAAAATTTTTTAAAACACTTGGGACTAAATTGAGAAGAGCCCAAGCCAGAGAAATCATGAAAACCCATTTGTTACCTTTGTAAATATTCCTGTTTTGTACCTGATTATTTTTTTACTAGTTTACAGAACTTTTATAAATGTACATTGTTAATAGTATAAATATTACCGTTCTGTTTTAAATAAATGTTTACATGTTTACAGCACTTACTGCTTGATCCTTCCCCTGATTCTGTGTCCGGGGTAAGGGATGGGGACGGTTGGTACGGGATCTCGGTAAGGGTGATGAAGAGCTCCTGGCTGTCGGGGAACTCAGCGGTGCCAGCGCTGTCGACTGCCTCGTCCTCCTCATCTCCTTCTTCATCTTCCCCGTCCGCTGTCATGTCCGACGAGGAACCGGCCGCGGACATGATCCCATCCTCGGAGTCCACGGTCAGGGGTGGGGTAGTGGTGGCGGCCGCTCCCAGGATGGAATGCAGTGCCTCGTAGAAACGGGATGTGTGGGGCTGGGATCCGGAGCGTCCGTTAGCCTCTTTTGTTTTTTGGTAGCCTTGTCTCAGCTCCTTGATTTTCACGCGGCACTGCGTTGCATCCCGGCTGTAGCCTCTCTCTGCCATGGCTTTGGAGATCTTCTCGTAGATCTTAGCATTCCTTCTTTTGGAGCGCAGCTCTGAAAGCACGGACTCATCGCCCCACACTGCGATGAGATCCAAGACTTCCCGATCAGTCCATGCTGGGGCCCTCTTTCTATTAGATTGCACGGCCATCTCTGCTGGAGAGCTCTGCATAGTTGCCACTGCTGCTGAGCTCCCCTCGATGTCCAAAGAGGAACTGAGATTCAAACTGCCCAGACAGGAAAATGAAAATGAATTCAAATTTTCCCGGGGGTGTGGCTGGTCAGAGCATCCGAGCTCGGACTGCTGTCCAGAGCGTCAACAGAGTGGTGCACTGTGGGATAGCTCCCGGAGCTATTACCGTCGATTTCCATCCACACCTAGCCTAATTCGATATGGCCATGTCGAATTTAGCGCTAATCCTCTCGTTGGGGAGGATTACAGAAATCGATTTAAAGAGAGCTTTATGTCGAACTAAATGGCTTCCTGGTGTGGACGGGTGCAGGGTTAATTCGATATAACGGCGCTAAAGTCGACATAAAAGCCTAGTGTAGACCAGGCCTAAGAAAAATATGGTCAGATTTTCAAAAGTGCTGAGGATTCACAAACCCTAATGGGAGCTGATGTGTGCTCAGCCCTTCTGAAAATCTGGCTGTACCTTTATCTCCCCCAGATACAAATTAAGGAGGTTAAATTTAGGCTCCTGCATTTTAAAATCTTTGCCTAAGCCCTTCAAGGCTGGCTGAGAAGAGATTTGAGTAGTTGTTCTTTTGCCTCCCTGCCAGCCAGCCTGCAGTAAGTGAACTGAACAGTTGTATGTGAAGAAGGGGAAATGGAGGTAGTGGCCAAGCAGCACTAAAAGGGAGGAGAGGTACAGAAATACTCTGCCACACAGGGAAAGAGAATTGCCCAGAGGGCAGCCAAGACAAATCAAGCCGCAGAGGACGTGCCCAGCCAAGGAGCAATGAACCTAAAGTTTGTTTGTTTTTTAAATCAACAAACTCCAACATATAAAAGGGCCTTGTCCTCTACTCTGTCCCCATTTCTCTATAGTTGCTATCCTAACGGCCAGCTGGGCAGTCCTGTAAATTAGATGGAATAAAATCAGTGTGACAACCACCATCTCAGATGACACACCGGCAACTGAACGGAAAGCATGAGCGGTTAGAGTTTCAGCTGAAGAGACAAGGCTCTTTAGTTGGGACTATAAGACTTATATCCTTTGGGGATTGGGCAGAGGGGACCTGTAACACACACTCCCCAGAAAGTTATACCAACATAGGTTTTCGCAGGATTCTGTACCTGGAAAGAGGAGGTCCTCTGTCTTGGGATGTTTGGGATGACACACTTCCATCAAAGGAGTTTCCCCGATGACAGCCTGAAACAGTGGCCCTGGGAGGCACAGCATCTGGCTGGGCTGTTTCACACACCACCTGAAGTCCCTTAGGATATTTTCAGTATAGAGAAATAAGTTTAAAAACGGATTTGGATCTTCCACATTAGCCCTCTTACTATGATGAGTACTTATATAATAGTATTATTTATACTAAGATAGCATTGAGGGGACTCGATCAGGATTGGGGCTCCAATGTCCTAGACACCATGCAAACACATGGTTTTCATTCCAGACAGTGTATAAACTAAGGCCCCAGTCCTATAAACTATTCCACCTGGGCAGACCCTTAAACCTGCATGGAGTTCCATTTACTTCAATGGAAAGTTATTTGTTGCTTTCAAGGTCAGGGCCTAATGCAAGATAAGACATTACAAGTGATGATATGTTGTTGTTATTAATTATTATTAATAATATTAATAATATGGGGGAAGGGAGGGCAGAGGATAACAGCAATTTGAACATGCAGTAATTTAGGCTGGATAGTGCACACCTTGATGGCTCCAAATCATCCAAAAAGGTGTGTTTATTTAAATGAAAATGGAGGGCACTGGCCCTCTCTTCTTAGCTCTGCCATGTGTCTTTACAATATTGATGATGGCTTGTTTTCTCCTTTTATATAGGTTCTGTAAGCTTTATATTGTTTCTTTGCCCTGGGCCCCAACCTCATTCTTTGCAGGGGGTAGGCCTTGGAAATGATAAAACCAATTATAAAACACACAATTCAATAAAAGCATTAAGAGGCTTTGGAGACCTGCATAGTAACTGCAACTGTCATTCCAAAATTCCCTGCAAAAGACCCCTTCTCCACCCCATCAATTTAAAAAAAATATCTCCCCACAGCTCCCCACTCTTGCTTGTCTAGCCACAGGCCCACCTCTGTGTGTCCAGTGTCCAGATTAGGGGATTCACAAGACAGGCTCTGGTTGCTAGTAGGAGAACTTCTCTTGGCTGGGATGAAAATAAAAAGAGAAATTTAAAAAATGTAATGCACATGTTGTATTCATCAAACAAATAAGCTATTTGCTATTGTAAAAAATGGCACTCCCCTCACTGTAACATTACTAGACGTTAGCTACACCTGTTGGAAATTATAGTTGGCTGGCAATTTTCTGTTGATTTTTTTTTTTTTTGGCACAGGAAGCACAGTTATCACAAAATCAAAATTTCCTGGGGGAATTGGTGCCCCTTGCAAAATAATTTTGGTTTGTTGAGCTGAACTGAAACATTTCATTCCAAGACAGTTTGACATTAAATTGCATCTGTCTAGTGTGCCACAGTAACTCAAGGGCGCTGTAGTTCAGGTGCTTCATGCTCCAGTTCTCTCATGGGTTGGGCTCTGTCAGGGTTCCTTCCCCACTCTGAACTCTAGGGTACAGATGTGGGGACCCGCATGAAAGCCCCCTAAGCTTATTTCTACCAGCTAGGTTAAAACCTGGTATGCTGCCACCACCAAGTGATTTAACAAGAAACAGGGAAAGGACCACTTGGAGTTCCTCTTCCCCCAAAATATCCCCTCAAACCCTTACACCCCCTTTCTTGGGGAGGCTTGAGAATAATATCCTAACCAATTGGTTACAAAGTGATCAAAGACCCAAACCCCTGGGTCTTTGGACAATGGAAAAATCAGTCAGGTTCTTAAAAGAAGGATTTTATTAAAAGAAAATGTAAAAATCATCTCTGTAAATCAGGATGGAAAATAACTTTACAGGGTAATCAGATTCAAAGACCCCAGAGGAACCCCCTCTAGCCTTAGTTTCAAAGTTACAACAAAACAGGGATAAACTTCCCTGTAGCAAAGGTAAAATTCACAAGTTGAGAAAACAAAGATAAACTAATACGCCTTGCCTGGCTGTTACTTACTTGTTTGAAATATGAGAGACTTGTTCAGAAAGATTTGGAGAACATGGGTTGATGTCCAGTCCCTCTTAGTCCCAAGAGCAAACACCACCAAAACAAAGAGCACAAACAAAAGCCTTTCCCCCTCCCAAGATTTGAAAGTATCTTGTCCCCTTATTGGTCCTTTGGGTCAGGTGTCAGCCAGGTTACCTGAGCTTCTTAACCCTTTACAGGTAAAAGGATTCTGGTGCCTCTGGCCAGGAGGGATTTTATAGTATTGTATACAGGAGGGTTGTTACCCTTCCCTTTATAGTTATGACAGGCTCCTTGGCCAGACTACTACTACCAGGATGAACTTCGGTCTCCTCTCTGATGGAGCCACATGACTCATGGGAGTTTGTGTTGTATCCTGGGAGAGGTAGTCTGGCCAGGGAGTACAGCCCATAGATAAGAATGGGGGCATGAAGCATCTTAACTACCATTCCCATGAGGAACCATGGCAGATGCAACTTAATGTCAAACTGACTCAATATGAAATGTTTTGACATTTCCAAATTGGAATTTTTGACTTCATGAAAAATTTCAGATTTTTACTGTTCTTCCCAATTCAGGATGAAAACAACTGTCAAGATGTTGTAATTTTCCATGGGATTAAAAAAAAAAAATCCAATGTTTGGTCAACTTCATGGTGAACGTTTTCAAAATGTAACATTTTATATGTCAGAATCAACCACTGAAGTCATGTTAGGGCCTGAACCAAAGCCCACTGAAATCAGTGGAAAGAGACTCTCATTGATCTCAGTGGACTTTGCATCAGACCCTTTGAGAAAGATACTGAGCTGAGATTTTGTGTTGCACCTCCAGGACGAAAAAATACTTAACAGGGTATAAGTGAGGACAAAGGCCCAGATCTTATAAGGTATTTAGTCTCTTAACTTCAATTTATTTCAATACCTGCATATACTCTACATATACCCTGAAATCAGTTGGAGTTAGGCGCTTACAAACTTTTGAGGATCTGGACTCAAAAGACATACAAGGACTTGGGGAACCATAAAGAGCTGATTCGTATCTCATTTATGCTGATGTAAATAAGGAGCAACTACACTGAAGCATGCGAGATCAGATCAAGATCCTACGTCATCATCTTGGCTAGGCCTTTTGAAACAATCCCATGTTATTATAATACTACAAAATCAGGATTTGGGTTAGGAAGAGCATCTGTATCATTGACTATCCCTTTGCTACCAATAGTATGTGGCTGCTAGCCTCTGTATTTTCCTCATCAGCATCAAGCTGTTGCCAAACACTGTCTCTACTTCTTCTTAGAAACGTGTACGTGGAAACAGACGTGTGAAATTGACAGGAAATGATCTAGCTTCCTTCTAAATTTATGCAAATATTGATGGCATTGAGGGAAAGAGTCTTAAAATATTGTCCAAGGATTCAAATTATTCCTGTAATTTTAAAATATTCCACAGAGATAAAATCTACAGGAAATATTAAAGGATTTATTTTAATCTAAGGGCAATTTAAAATGTATGGTTCAACTCCTCAGCTGGTGTAGCTCCGCTAAAGTAAACAGAAATACAATTTACACCAGTTTAGAATCTACTATGAGACTTTTTTTCTTTTTCTCTCATATATAGGAAGCCTGTATGATTAGGCTTCTGAGGGCTGGTCCACACTGGGGCGGGGGATCGATATAGGAAACGCAACTTCAGCTACGAGAATAGCGTAGCTGAAGTCGACGTTTCCTATATCGAACTAAAAGTACTTACTTCGGGTCCACGCGGCGCAGGCAGGCTCCCCCGTCGACAGCGCTTCCTCCTCTCGGCGAGCAGGCGTTCCGCAGTCGATGGGGGAGCGCTTCTGGGATCGATTTATCGCGTCCAGATGAGACGCGATAAATCGATCCCAGAAGATCGATCTCTACCCGCCGAATTAGGCGGGTAGTGTGGACCAGCCCTGAGATTAAGTCAGCTGGCATTACAGTAGATACAGGGCATTACATGAGAAGTAGTATCAATACAGGTCTGACACTTCTATCATATACATTTACTTACTTGTCAACACACAGAAATTGTACCAGTTTAAATAAAGGTGTGATGTTAAACTGATTTAGTAAAACAAATGCAGGTTAAATGTATATAAAACAGATTCAAACCCATGTAAGAGAGTCCACACACAAAGTTGCATTGATTTAATCAAGATGGATTAAAATTGCGCCTTTAGTTAAACTGGTGCAATTTGTATGGGTAGACCAGGACTAAGAGTAGAGAGACTAAAAATTGGGTAACCATAGCAATAAATCTGATTGAATTGATTTTGATCCTGGTGTAAATGGTGCAGCTCCCATTGACGTTAATGGGAGACTCATCTTATTATGTCAGGATGATTTTGTCCCATTAGTTTTAATGGGAATTGGACTGAGGGCTTCTCTACATTCAGCAGTTGTACCAGTTTATCTAAATAGGTTAAATTTAGTTAAAATCGGTGCCATTTCTGCATGTAGACTTGGCCATGAAGAGAGGGTTTATTTTGGTAAGGCACAAAAATAAAACAAAAACACAGGACTGTACACAGATCCTGCACGCATGGCAAATGGGGCTCAGATAACCGTACCACAAGGAAGAGAATTTCCGATGCTTAACATCTGTGACTACACAGCAAAGTCACGCACCTGTAATAATGTTCCTGATTGGCTTTACCAGAGCGGTGAAGGCAGAAACCTCAGGCTGCCTGTGCTCCCACATGGGTTGCCAAATAACAAGGCCACTGGCCAGCCGAAAAGTCAGGTCAGACTCCTAGAAAGACACAATGGGATCATCATACCATATGTGGATTAGTCAGGCTGTCACAGAAGAGCATTGTTTTCTGTGTGTGCTGATGTCCCTCCTACTGTGACATGGACCTTGAAAGCAACAACAATGATCACACCCTGTTTGTGTGCAATAAGTCAAAAGGTCACTACTGTAACTATTCAAAGAAGGCATAAATACCTACCCAATGGTCTAGTAATAAAGCAACGTGGAATTCTCAGTACAAAGCTAAGTAAAGGGCCTTTGTGCCCAGACCACAGTTATACTGATCAAAACCTGTGTTTTCCAGGATCTCTGCTACTACTGAAAAACCTACCTACCATTGCAGCAAAATCCTTTGTACTCATTATTCTGCTTATTGCTTTAGATCATTTAGTATGTAAATCTTTCCTTTAAGCTCCCTTTTCCTACAATGCCCCTGGACAGAAAGGCATTTCTTAACCATGAATGGGAGTCAACCAGACTGAGCTAAATTCCACAATCCTTGCTCCAGCTCTGAACCAGTGAGGGGCTCATGTCCTCAGGACTCACTGATTTCAATGAGAGCGGCAGGTACTCAACACCTCTGATAATCAGGCCACTTATGTAGGTGCTAAATATTGATGCAGGTGCTTCACTTTGGATATTCTTGCCTTAGTGTCTGCCCAGTTCTAAAACCCTTACTCATATCATTGGAATTACTTTTGATACTTTTACTTAAGGTACTATACTTTTAGTAAAAGATGGGTGTACAACTGGTTAAAACACTGTACTCAAAGAGTAGTAATCAATGGTTCACTGTCAATGTTGTTTCTAGTGGGATCCTGCAGAGGTCTGTCCTGGGTCCAGTACTATTCAAAATTTCCAATAATGATTTGGTTAATGGAGTGGAGAGTATGCTTATACAATTTGTAGATAACACCAATCTGGAAGGGGTTGTAAACGCTTTGGAGGACAGGATTAGAATACAAAATGACCTTGACAAATTGGAGAATTTGAAATCAACAAGATGCAATTCAATAAAGACAAATGCAAAGTACTACATACAGGAAGGAAAAATCAAATACACAAATGCAAAATGGGGAATAACTGGCTAGGCAGTAGTATTGCTGAAAAGGATCTGGGGGTTAGAGAGGATCACAAATTCATAATCAACAACGTGATGCAATTGTGAAAAAGACTAATATTCTGGGGTGTATTAACAGGAGTGTCCTCTGCAAGAGCTGGGAGGTAACTGTCCCTCTCTGCTTGGCACTAATGAGGACTCGATGGGAGTACTGTGCCCAGCTTGGGCACTACAATTTAAAAAAGATGTGGACGAAGAAGAGACAGTCCAGCAGAGAGCAACAAAAATGATAAAAAGGTTAGAAAACCTGGCTATGAGGAAAGGTTAAAAAAACTGGGCATGTTTAGTCTTGAGAAAAGAAGACTGAAGGAGAACCCGATAACCATCTTCAAATATGTTAAGGGCTGTTACAAAGAGGGCAGTAATCAATTGTTCTCCATGTCTGCTGAAGGTAGGACAAGAAGAAATTGGCTTAATCTGAAGCAAGGGAGATTCAGGTTAGATATAAGGAAAACTTTCTAACTACACCACTACCTCAATATAACGCCACCCGATATAACACGAATTTGGATATAACGTGGTAAAGCAGTGCTCGGGGGGGGGGGGGGGAGGGGCAGGACTGAGCACTCCGGTGGATCAAAGCAAGTTCAATATAACACGGTTTCACCTATAACGCAGTAAGATTTTTTGGCAGAATCGCAGTCTCCTCACGCTGGCGTCACTACATTACCACTCCTGACAGTTCTTCCACTTACTTTAATCCTGTGGACCAGAGGAGCAAACAGGAACACAAAGAGCTCCACTGTTGCCATGGAATTCTGAAAGAACTTCCTTCGGTTATTCTCTTCCTCTTCATTAGTGCTGCCACGCCGAGGGTGTCCTGGAGATCCCTGGTTTTCAACCTGATGAATAAAGGCGCTACTGCTCCCTCCCCAGCTAGAGCCTCTCTCTCCTCCAAATCGGTCATTGCTGCAGTCTTGAGGAGCCTCCAGTAGCATCCAATGGAGGGTGTGAAGAAGCTTAGTCTCCGCTACTCCAAGCTTGTCCTGATGTCCTGAATGGAAAAATGCAGCATAATGGGTGTCTCTGTTCACACAGGATCGGTACAGCGGAGATTTTCAAAGCTGCATAGGGAATTGGGCACCCAAATTCTCTACGTAGCTTTGAAAATCTCACCCCTGCAATTAGAAGTATCTAGTTGTTCCTAGTATGTCTTGGTTAAAATCACCTGATTCAGAATGTTACATTCCCCTGCACAGCCCCCTTGCCTGCTCCCTGAAGTGCCACTCAGTGTGTGTCTGCATGTCTGAAAACACAGTACTCATAAAAGATGCTAACTTGACAGCCCTGGGTCTTGAAACAGTTCTATGGATCCCCAAGCTGTAGTACTGCAAACTTTCCTAGACTGTGCTCTGCTACCCATCCCCACCAGTATGCTTCAACTCTGGAGGAACCAGGCCAGATGAGAAAGTAGTTTGATCTTGATGAGCATAGTGCAAAGCCGACTGACATCAGTGGAAAGACTCTTATTGATGATAGTGGGCATTGGATCAGGCCCTATGCTCATGAATTCATTGGGTTTTTTTCCAGTTAAGACTGTCAATCTGTGAACCAATTAGTGTCAGTTGTGGTGGCAGATTTTGTAACGTGGATACTTACCCACCCGGGACTGGACCAAGGCCAACAATTACTTACATGTGAAATACAGAACTTTCAGACATAAACTGAATATCCAACCAGACCACCCTAAGGACCTGGCCAAGATCAACCTGGGCAATGCCCCAAGGAGGCCACATCTTTTTGAGATTTGCCATGATGATGACGATGACAACAACAAATAACAACACTTTCAGTGCCTTCAAAATCTGACTACTATGGCATATGTCTTGCAGAAAATAAATATCCCTTGAAGAAGCTTATTACAGTTAGGTAGCAAGGCTACTGCTGAAATCCATTCCAGTTCCTCTTGGAGAACAGTATTGAACTTATTTGATTCTCAAGATTGTGACTCCCTCTTGACAACAATTTCCAAGAAGTCACTCATTCGTTTAGATGGCACCCTGCAATCCTGGGACGGATTTGATCCTTTCATGCTTAAAGAAGGATTTCATCATTCATGACCTTTCTTCTCACTTTTCATTATCCAGCTGTGAAGTCAGAATGATATATCTGTGACATCACCGTTCCCAAACTGTGGGACCAAGATTTAACTGTAGCATTAAACAGAAGGGGACTCATGGAGCTTTGTTTGGGTAAGTGCTTATATGAAATACAAATCTCTTCAGTGACAAAGAAAATGTAGAAAAATATGAGCTAATATTTTATGAAAATATATTTTTGTAGTGCTAGTCTTCTGTTTGGGTTCCCCACCCCCAGTTTTGATCTAGTGTTAAAATTTCCCTTAAAAACAGCGAAAGGTTTAGTGTTATATCAAGCTTTTAAGGCACAACTCCAAATTGGAGAAAATATTTATTTTAATTTCTTTTTGCATCTACCTCAATAAAATCTAATATCCATTTCTACAGGGTTGGGGTTTTTTGCAAGAGGTTGATAATTCTTTGTATTATTTTAGCTGTGCTGAATTTTACATATAGCATAGTCTGATTACTACATCTGCCTGTAATGTAACCAAGCGCAAGATTACACAAGCCCTTACATACAGGAACAATGCTATTATAATTAATGTGACTAATCATGTGAGTGAATTCTATCCACAAGAATAAAGCCATCAAGGACTGGGTTCCCATCATATTTTTGAGGTTGAAATACAATAAACAGGAGGAATAAGAGAGCCTATTTTGCTAAGTTTACTTATGTGAATAATCCTTACTAACACTAGTAGGCCCACAGACTTAAATGGAAATTATTTGCTTGAGTAAGGACTGCTGTGTGAACATGGATTTGCAGGATTGGGTCCTATACCTTGGAGAAAATGGGTATGTCTACACTACAATATAACACCCACGGCTAGCCCGTGTCAGCTGACTGAGGCTCACAGGGCTCAGGCTGCAGGGCTATAAAATTACAATGTAGACGTTTGGGCTCAGGCTGGAGCCTGGGCTCCGGGAGAGCATGGTGTATGGCATGTTGAGCACAACTTTGTGATATTTTAATGGAAGATTAGGTAATAGTAAAAAGCAAACTAATGCAAGTACCAACCTAGCTTGTTTCGGTTCGAAAGCAAGGTCGCTGTGCAATGGAGTACATGTGGTAGGGCAGCTTGAACCAGTTCCCAACGAGAAATGCTCTGGATGGCTTCAGAGAGGGCTGGAGAAAGACCATGCAGCTTGTTCTCTACTAAAACTCGTTCGAAAGACTAAGAAAAAAAAGGAGAAAAAATATTATCCTAGCACATGCTTTGCAAGACTGTGTATTCTCTTCTAAAGCTCCTGCTGTCACATATTATTTCCCACAAAATATAACGTATAGTTCCTTTCAGTAAAATTATTCCTTAAAATATTTTCCTGAAAAAGAAAGACTATAGCCAAAGCTCACTAGATGGATGGTTAATCAGGAGACAGCACTCAGAAGAATTCAGAAGTAACATGGTTCATTTAATATACTTTCCTTAGTCAAAAGAATTAAAGAAATGAGTTTCAAACGCCATATAAACATAAGTACTCTGGGCCAAACCTGGCATACAGTTATGCTGGTGTAAATCTGGAGTAATTCTGTTGAAGTCAACGGAGCTGCTCCAGATTTACACCAGTGTGACTGAGAGCAGGATTTGACACTCTCTTTGAAGGTTTTATGTAGCATAAAGAGCAGCCTGCTAAAAGCACATAGGCCTTAGGAAATATTTTCACACCCCGTCACAAAAGTTAATCATTGTGTAAAATCCTTTGTCAGGACATTATATAGTATTTTTGCAAACAGTTGCGGTTGTTGGCTTGACCATGTTGATTATTGTTGCCTCAAGTAGCACAAGATTTGAGGGCCAGCGCATCTGTTTTATAGAGGGGGAAAAAACCCTTACAGAAGCTTATTATTAGACAGCCAAGCTATTTCTACAGTCCATTCTTTCACATATGCCCAAAAGACCTCCTTATATGGTCACTGAAGCAATTATGTTCCTCTAAAGTTACTGTAGTCAAGGACTGTATTCGTGATATCACATGCCCTTGCCACAAACCAATGTAGCCTTCTGGCAATCTACTCATTCACAAGTTGTTTAGCCAATTTTACTATGCTCATGGAGATAAGTAACAGTGAATGTACATGACCTAAAGGATGCTTCAAATGCCATCACACCAGATTCATAAAATTCATCCCTCAACAAGAGGCACAAAAATCCCTCCTTGGTAAAAAAAAAAGCTGCATTTATCAGGAATAAGCTTAATCACAAAGGAGTAAAGCAAAAGAAATTTGACTTGCAATCTGGCCATCAAAACTGAACCACCATTCAAAGTGTGCAGTACCAACCAGTCAAACAGGCTGTGTAATATTCCTTTACATACACCAAGGGCAGGAAAGTAGTCTTTGCATGTGTTTGTTCTATAAGAGAGAAACATCCTAACAGTGCTGGGTATAGGCTGAGTTCAGTGAAAATGGACCATGTGACTCTTATACAGAGTCATCTCATGGACAGACATACTGGTGGATATGCAGGACTGAATATGCCGATAATGAATCAGATGCTGGAAATAATAGTCAAACGTTGGCAAGAAATGTACTGTTATGCTCGAGGATGTTTATAGCTGCCAGCAAGCATATCTGATCTAGGGGCAGTCAAAAATCTCACTGACGCTGATGGAGTGCTAGCTGCCCCTCATTCTGGCTAAACTGAGAAGCAATTAAGCTCCTTTATGGAGTAAGATGGCTGAAACAATAGAAGACACCATCCAAAGCACTGGCCACATGGAAGACCAGAGCAAGAACTAACTCAAACAGAATAAAAGGGGCTTCCCTAAAAACTGATTGAAAATTCAGGGGCTGGGGCAGTGGTGGGACTGCAGTTGTTTGTTTCTGCATGCCTTAAAGGGAGTAAGCAAATAGAAAGTCAGAGAGGCACTGGTAGCATGATGCTGAGAGGTACCCAAAAGAGAAAGCATCTTTTGGGCACAAAACTGAACAGAAGCAGGCTTGGATTCCTGAACAAGAAAATTGCTTCCTGTTATTCGTTCCTACTGTATTCAGGGAAACAGGACTTGCACCAAAGATATCTCTGACTCAGATAATTAATCTCACCTTCTACTGTAAACAATCCACAAGGCCCCTTAATATTAGCGAACTGCTTGGGCCACAAGGGGCAACACTATGTTTTTCCATCTAGAAAAAGTAGCTGTGATGGGTTTGGTGCAGAATAGGAAGATAGGATTTTAATCACCATTTGTCAAACCCCCTTATTTGTTAACGTGACTGTTCTCTCCGCAGAGACCTCATTCAGGCAACAGAACGGAATAAAATGTGCCTGCTTCCATATATTGGCATGCAGCTGGGAGAAGTTATTGCCTGCTCTGAACTAGTCTGAAACAACTGGGCTAGACTACTGTAGCCTAAATCTATTTACTTACTCTGGCAGCTACACATAATAGACCAGATTCTGCTTCCCTCATTCAGAGTGAGTAGTAACTAATTCAGCCACTAACCCCATTCACATCAATGGGCCTATTCAAGAAATAAGGGATCACTAACTGTGAGTAAGGCCAATACAATTTGTCCCACACAGAAGTATGAAAGGGACTGCTTATACATACACCTTTCTGTGTACAATCTAGAATAAACAAGGCATTTATCTACCATTATTTAACATTAAGTTTGATTTGTTAATGGATCGTCCTAACAAAGGAACAAAATAATAGAGGCCCACACTCTTGCGTAAATTGCCATTAAATTTATAAGTACATTAAATTTATAAGGGAAGGGAGAAGAAAAAAAAATCACAAAGCAGCCATTCTATGCTGATGTGTGTGTGTGGGAGGCAGATGTGGGGCCATTCTGTTGCTCTGCATAATGTATTGGCATCTCCTCCAGCACTAGATCCAATTCAAGATCTTGTCCTCATCTTCAAAAGATCACAATGGCATAGGGCCCTAAAGGCTACAGAACAGCCTCTTTCAAAAAAACACCGCCCAGATTCTGAGCACTCAGTACAATTCAGGAGGGGGAAAGGGAGTGTGCAAAGGTGGCTTTAAACCACTTTTACGTTCCTCCAATCTTTAGGGCATCTGGGTCCTGGGAAGGCTGTCAGATTGGAGCCTCTTTCAGACTGCTCTAACCTACGCCAGCTGCCCACAGGTTGCAGGGGCTGTTGCAGCGGCTAGGAATAAATTGAGCTAAGAGGACTCAACCCTTATGCCAGTGGGTTGAAGGGGGATGGCTGATGAGCCATGATGCTAGTGTAGGTTTGCCAGAGGATTCCTCTGTGTATGAGGGATTCTCCAATGGCCAGTTAAGCAAACTTTAGAGCAAGCTAATGATTATGTGGTACAAAGTTTCCCCTTTGATTGGGAGAACCAGGCCTTATGATTACAGTGTCAGTCCCCACTCTGGTTCTGGCTTACACTAGCACAAGTGACAGCAAAATTTGAATCCTTCCCTCAACTTCCTTAGGGCCTTGCCCTGCTTTGTGTATGCAAGTACAGCTCCCTGCAAGTTCAGCTGATGTTTTGCCTGCACACTGAATGCAAAATATGGTGCTTTGGGTCAGACTCTGCTCTCAGTTCCAGCAATGTAGGTGTGCAGTGATTCCATTTACTTTATTCTCGCCTGAACATTATGCAAAATCAAGATGAACAGCCCACTTTTTACCCTCCATTCACTAGAAGTTACATATACCCTTGGCAGGAGGACAGTGCTGAAATGTGTAAAATAGAAGAGGGATCCTAGGGAGCTATAAATGTAGCTGAAATCAAAGGGTCTGGCTATAATAGGCTAAAAAAAACCAAAATCCCAGCCTGACAGAGGCATGGCTAAGCTAGCAAACACAGTGGTGACCTAATCCAGGTCTCTTCAATACAGGAAATAAATTAAAGCAATATAAGAAGATAAAAAGAACCAGGCCAACCTGAATCCACAGATTTGTGCCCTAAAAATGAATAGCCAACCATGGAGCCAGATTTTGGGGGGAGGGGAGGGGAAGAGAAGGCTAAAGAGAGCTGGCAGATGCCAGTAACAGAGAGCTGCCTTGGGGGGAAGGAAATCCAGCTACAGAATCCAGTACCATCAGCTTAAAGAACATATTAAAATTGACTTGGAAAGCTCAGAGATATTGAACTGGACCCTCCTTATCCTGTAAGGCAGGGGCTGCCAACCTGAGCCTGAGAAGGAGCCAGAATTTACCAATGTACATTGCCAAAGAGCCACACTAATGTATCAGCAGCCCCGCATCAGCTCCCCCCACTCCAACCTGCAGCGCCTCCTGCCTACCGGCAGCCCCACCAATCAGTGCCTCCCACTCCCTCCCCATGCCTCCCGCCCACCGCGATCAGCTGTTACACGGTGCACAGGAGGCTCTAGTGGGGGAGGGGGGGAAGAGCGAGGGCATGGCAGGCTCAGGGGAAGGGGTGGAGTGGGGGCAGGGCCTGGGGCAGAGCAGGAGGTTGAGCACTGAGCACTCCCCATCACATTGGAAAGTTAGCATCTATAGCTCCAGCCCTAGAGTCAGTGCCTATGCAAGGAGCCGCATATTAACCTATGAAGAGCCGCATGCAGCTCCGGCATCACAGGTTGGCCACCCCTGCTGTAAGGAGTTAGTGTGTGAGTGTAATGAGATGAAAACAAAAATAAAGTTGAACTATTGTGGCTGGGGGAGGAAGTGTGGCAGTGGCGATTTTGGAAAGGACAAACCAAAGGGGGAGTGTGGTGGCAACGGCCATCTTGAAAGAGGCGCATCAAACCAGGAGGAAAGACCAGAAGATCTAGATATGTATGAAAGGAAAGAAATCCTTCACTACAAAGATCTGTCCATCCCTCCTTCCCCCAAAAACAAAATCTCCCCCTCCATCAAACAAACCATGGAGGCAGTTGGACAAGAACAGGACTAGTACAAAGGCTAAGACAGTGTAATAAATAATGGATATTGTATCCATGTGATTATAATGTCAAAGGGATATAGTTAAATGGTAGCTGGGGTGTATAGCACCTTGGATAGTTTACTCTATGTGGATACAGTACACTTAATGGGTATAACATTATAGGTAATATAAATCACATTATAAACTAAGTTATTAATGCAATAGCAAAAGACCCAGATCTCCCCTAATGAGGTAAGTTTGACTTGAGTTATCACAAATATTCCAAAATGTATATTAATTGGAGAAGGGTCACCTATGGCGGAAAATGTCCGAATAAGTGAACTCAAAGATGGTATAATAA